GGCAGCGACCGGAGCGCGGAGGGCGACGGGGCCCGGACCCAAGGCAACCGGGCTGCCAGGCGCAGCCATACCTACCCGCGGAAGGAAAAGCGTACCCCCTCCACAGAGAGGGAAAACTCAGCCTGTCGGATGTCATCATCCTCGAATGGTGTAAAAAACCTGCAAAATAATAACAGAATATTTTGAGAAGTTTATGAAGTTACTTGACTGTATTTAGGAGCCCTTCTGTCTCGCAGAGCCCAGCTTGCCAAGCCTGGCAGTACCTGCTGCTGGCTCAGGCACTGCAGGACAGCTTAAAGGCCAAACCACAGAACAAGAAAGAAATGCAGGCTGGGTGCCCTGGCCCCTGGGCTGTGTCTGGGTGAAAAAGTAACGTTTATTCGCAGCAGGTGGGGGAAAGTGTTTTGTCAGGCACTTGGGTCGCTCAACTGCTCCAGGGCAGAGCAGGGAGGCCTTTTCCCCCCAGTCTCTGCTGAGGCCTTTGTACTGCAGGTGATGGCCTAGCCCTGAACAAGGCAGAAGGCACATAAGCCAATGCCAACTACTAGTGAAAACAGGTGGAGGTGGAAGTATCTTTTTTTATGGGACTGAGGAGTGAGTAATTTGCTGGAGCTAGTTTGGTTGGAGCCAATGGCTGCAACATACACTTAACTTGTATCACAGCAAGAGCCATGCTTCAGTCCCATATCATTAAGAATTGCTTCCAAAGAATTACAGCTTCTAGCATAGATGGGCTCTCTAGCACCTTCTTAGTCATATTATCAAAGCATTATCCAGTTCCCATGACAAATTGAAGTCCCAAGTTAGACTTACCAGATTTACAATGATACTAGCACAAGGCAGAAAATATTCCCCTTATGAAAAACACTGACACAGAGAATGTACTATTGAACGTGTGATTACAGAAACACATGAATGAAAGACTGAAGTACTACTTCAGGTAGCACAGGACTGAGCATCTGCTGTGTATGTTAAAACAAAGAGGTATTACTTAACACTGCAAAGAAACTGATGTAGGGGCACATAAATACCTTTAGTGTATATATATATAAAAATACCCTTAGTAGAGTCTACATTCTGTTGTTAAGGACTGGTTGAAATACAGTAGAAGCTCTTAAGGAACAGCATTGATTCATGAAGAAGCAAACTTGCTCTCCTTTGCCTCTACTGCAATTATAGCAGCTGTACAGCAGCATAGAATCATAGAATAGTTTGGGTTGGAACAGACCTTTAAAGGTCATCTAGTCCAATGCCCCTGCAGTAAGCAGGGACATCTTCAACTAGATCAGGTCGCTCAGAGCCTTGTCCAACCTGACCTTGAATATTTCCAGTGATGGGGCATCTACCACCTCTCTGGGCAACCTGTGCCAGGGTTTCACCACCCTCCTTGTGAAAATTTCTTCCTTATATCTAGTCTAAATCTACCCTCTTAGTTTAAAACTGTTATTCCTTGTCCTATCATTATAGGCTCTGCTAAAAAGTCTGTCCCCAGCTTTCTTATAAGCCCCCTTTAAATACTGAAAGGCTGCAATCAGGTCTCCCTAGAGCCTTCTCTTTTCCAGGCTATTGAATATTGAAGTATATATCTCTCTAGTAATATTGATGTTAACCTTTCACCTCCAAGAACAACTGGCATTTGCAGCTTAGACAAGTTGAACAGATTTAGCGAATGTCAATACTGAAAGTCATGAGGAAAGGTAAAGACTGTTAACCCACACCTGTGCCTTTCCATGGCTGTGTGTGCTAATAGTTAATTGTCCAGCTCCTATCACACAGCTATTGACCATCATAACTGTCTCTTAGTAGGCTGCTCAGAGAGGCTTAAGAATAGTTGCCATGAACTACATGCATCCTTTGCCCTATCCACAATAAGAGGATATTTATAGTTGAACTGCCAAGGTCCTCCTCTGAGGAAGTAAAAAAATTGCATCAGACCTGTTGTTCCAGCCCTATGGGTAGGATTTTCCTTAAAAAGGCAGCAAACTGATAAAGCATGCACCAACAATACATGGTTATTCTACAGCTGGTGAAGGTCTTCCACTTTTACAGCACCACCACCATCTTCTAAAAAAAGTAAGCATGCAACGGATACCTATTTCTTTATTAGCATGCTGATGTCAAAGCTTATTAAACGTCCTGTAACCAAAGAAAAGGGCGACTGCAGGATAGTTTTGAAATAAGGGCGCACTTCCAAAACACAAATAATCGAGCTGATTTCGTACATTACTCTCTTGTCCGTTGGCTCCTTCTAGTGGCCTTCCCCGGGCGCTACAATTACCTGATGACCCAAACCCTTCCTTACCTACCTACCTCAAGGTCTCAACGAACTTCATTTAGCCATGTAATCACCAAAACAGCAGACAAACTTGTCTGAGCAGCAGCAACAGCTTTCAGTAAGATATACACAGAAAGACAGACCTCAGTCTTCTAAGTATTTCCACTGAAGTTTGTTTGCCTCTAACTTCTCAGGCTTCTTGTATGCCAGAGAAAACTACTGCCGAACATGGCGAGATCCTGTGGAGACAGAGTACAAAAAGCCTAATGCAAAAAAATGGCACTGGGAGAGTTGCTATTCATGGCACTTGCGGGCAGTGTTTTATGTGGTCTCTCCTAGCTTGATGCAATTAAGTCTCCAATTCAAAATACCAAAATTGAGAGAACATATAGAACATGATATAGAACATTCTACCTAGCATGTTAAGGTAAGAGCAATATACTGCTGTTTATTCTAGTGTATACCTTAGAAATAACAATTGACACATCTTACATTTTAAAGGAAATGCTTTCTGAATTTGCCCTTGCCTCTGCCAACACACAGCTAGTGACAGCTCTCTTCTGTCTGGTAGCAGTGGTAGTAGTTTGGAAGCGGTAAACTGAAGATTAAAATGAAATGTATGCAATGAAATAAAAATAGGAAGAGTTAATTGTTGGTAACTTAACAGTCTGACCGAGCCTGTCCAGAAGCACAGTGCTTTGCTGTTCCTCCTCAATATGCTTATTCATGTTTGGTTTCCATCAAAAGCATTCAACTATCCACTCTCCCCTACTTGACCACATTCCAAACCAAGATTTGCTACTCTTTGCTGCATGGTTTTGTATACTGCATTTGTTTGTACTACTGAAGAACTGAAAATACTACAAAAGACAACAGTTTTAGTAAATACATATCACTTACATAGCTGAGGACAGCTACCCCACAAGCTTGTGATACGCAAGGCCTCATGCTTTTGTTATATTACAATACAAAAATACTACTGATCCTTTTACAGATTAATACTATGCATAAAATGTAGTGCTGCAGGTAAATGGCATACCTGAAGATTTTTCATACATTGAAAACTACATTGAATACATGTACCACTAATCCTGCAGAAGATGCTTCTACATTATAAACTAAGTTACAGCATACCTTATGTTTTATTAGCACAAGAGCATAATTGCCTATATAAGCTATTCACTGTCAACTGTGTTAGCTACCTTCTCAAAGAACTGGCTGAAAAGGACACTTATTTTAATCACTGCATTTATTTTTTATCTTATCTAAGCAACAGAGATGGGTGTTCATTTACAACCCAAGCACTCTGCAGTATATTAAAATACATTCATAATACACCCTCTTGCCTTAAGATAAAGGTGAAAGATCTTACTGTATTTGTCAAGATGTATGTTTGATTTCAAAGTTCATCTGGCCTACCTTGTTTGTAAAGTGTGCCTGTAGATTCCACACTTTTGAGATCACAGTAAGCTGAAATATCAGAAGTAGTGCTATAGGAAATTAGTATCAGATTGTAGCTGAGTTGGGGTAGTATGCTCTCAGATACAGCTATCTATCTGTTTTAAGTTCAGTACCAGCACAAATACCATCTAGTATGTTTTAGAAATTATCTCTGTAACAAAAGAACTATTTAATTGGCAGCCTGGTATGATTATCTTCAGTATATGAGACAGCTTGGTATCTGCATACCTGTATGTTTTTAGTG